GAGAGAGAGAGAGAGAGAGAGAGAGAGAGAGAGAGAGAGAGAGAGAGATCCAGTGAGAACTTGGTGTTCGGTTCTTGAAACTTTTTACTTCTGGCATTACTATGTTCGGCTGTTCTCCTGGTACTTTGTCCTGCCTTTCCTCCAGTTATGTCAGTGCCAAGAGCACTCTGTGTGTGTGTGTGTGTGTGTGTGTGTGTGAGAGAGAGAGAGAGAGAGAGAGAGAGAGAGAGAGAGAGAGAGAGAGATCCAGTGAGAACTTGGTGTTCGGTTCTTAAAGTGTCAACCAATGGCTTTGGCATTGTAATTTACGAAGTGATGTTCGCGATTCTGTGCAGATTAAGGATCTTAATGAGAGATTACCTGAGCATGCACGGTACCGAACAAGTGCCACTGGGAGGACATCACACCCAGTGAATGGGATTGAGCAGGACAGGGAACCAACGTCGAATGCACGCCGGAGGTTCACCATGAGTCCAACAGGTCCTATGACGAGAGGGAGCGTGGATCTGGCTAATGATCCTGCTTCCCTGCGACCTCCAGACAGCAATGGCATGGCCACACCCGTGCAGGACGCACCCACACCGAGATCACTGGTAAGAAGCACACGGGTATCGCGGTCATCAGACGGCAATGAGACTACCAGGTCTCTCGATAGAACTGTCCGGCGAGACGATGTAACGAGGTCGTCTCACAATTTGCCACTGTTATCTATACCTGGACCAAATCACGGAACGTCTTTGTCGAATGGTGGTGGAGCTTCAACACCACAAGCGAGTGGTAGCGCCAATGCGGGAGGTTCTCATACGGGAAGGCAAGGCCATTCTCACAGTGGCTCAGGAGGCGGTGGAGCAGTCTCTGGCTCAGGAAGAAGCCAAGAGAGGGAGTGGGTGGAACAGGTTGAACCCGGTGTGTACATAACTCTTCTGGCGCACCCAAGTGGTGGTAATGAGCTCCGGCGCATCAGGTTCAGGTATGTGTGGGTCTCAATTCTCAGCAACAGTGCTTGGGAGTGTTGCAAGTTGGAGCGTTGCCAGTTCAGTCATACTGCACCTGCAATGGTGGATTTCCTATTGGGTTTGCTCAACTTTGCTGTTATCATCTCGTGTTATTCACCGTGTTCCTTCCTCTACATTTCCTCCTTTATTTCAGTGCTAGCATCTTGTGACTTCATGCTGGTCTTTTTCAACTTCTTTTTTTCTTCTTTTTTTTTCAACAAAACAGGTCCTTTGCGTTGTGTGGGAATGATGCTCTATGCACCCATAGTTGACTACGGCGGAGATCCAGTGTTTTCCGTGCTAGACTCGCCAAATTGATTGCCCCGAAAAATGGGTTATAGAAATTCTCTGTGTCTCAGCAATAGAGTCACAGAAGCCGATGGCATAACACCTGCAAGGGCGAACAACGTGAAATTTGTGAATCCAAGCAAACATTTGCTTGCCTCCAAGGATGTGTGTCTGCATGTCAAGATTGGAAGCGGCAGAACTCACAGCTGGTCCGCGCTGGATATCAGTGTTCCCTATTTTTTCCGAGTTCGGATGAGTCACAGCTAGGGCTTCACATGCATACACGGCTAGGGCTTCACATGCATACAGGGCTAGGGCTTCACAGCAAGGGCTTCACATGCATACAGGGCTGTTGCACCACGTACCATCCTCGTGCGAAAGGAACCAAATAAGGTTATGCAGACAAGCATGCTAAGTTTAGAGCACAAAATTGCGAAGATAAGCACATAACATGCAGAAGGGTGGTGAATTTGCACTACTGTCCCTGAGCCTTTCTGCCGAATTTCTCTTGTGCTCAATTCAGTCTCTGAACCACAGTGTTTGGAGGCGGCTTTGGGCATTAGAGCAGGACACCGCGATCTATAAGACCCACTTTGCCAGCCACTTTTTTTTTTCCGGGCACTGCTGCAGGCTCCGCCCAGGAAACCGGGTGTGGCAGCAGCCTCCTTGTATACAGTTGCAAATTGCAGCGCTGTACACGTGCAGTGGTCATTTAAGTGGAGCATGGACACAAAATGCAAGGGGTGCATGTGTGTTTGGGGGTATAAGACCTCGGGCCTACCAGCCCGGCATGTGTCGTCAAGAGTACGCCATGTAAACAACACTGGAAAAGAGCTCGCAGCCAGGTTTGCCCATCGGAATGCAAAGATGCAAACACCACAGAGTGCGGAAAAAAGAATTAAGGACAAAACAAATCACAAGTACAAGACAGGAACAGAGGACAAAGTAGAGTCGAAAGAACCACATGGATGATGACAGACTGTTTCGTTTGACTTGCACCACCTCTTCAGGAGGCTGAACCCTCGACAATCTGCAGAATCCCGACACTGATGCTTCGAGTTATGAACTCCTCCAACCCCTTTTGAAAATGGAGGGCCAGCAGGTGACCCCACGAGTGATAAGAAGGCAATGATGCAGCAAAGCACCAGGTAGCGCTAACGGGCCATCTGACTACACAGCATACACGCAAACTGTATGGAAAGACAAGGCAGGCAGATGTGCAGCAAGACAACAATGCACTGAAGCACAAGGCAGCGCACGCAAGGCAGCCAAACTACACGGCACACAAGCAGACTGCATGGATAGACATGGCAAGAGGATGGCCAGCGAGGCATGGCATAGCGAGGGACAAAGCAACACTAACAAGGCAGACAAACTTCTCGGCAAACAGACAAGCTGCACGGAAGCGGTTTGGCAGCAAGGCAGTGGCGGACTGCAGACGACGCAGTCCACACTTCCAGCACAGACCAAGCAGTTCATCACCTGTTCACAACACAAGCAGTGCACAGTGAGGGGGGAGTTGAAGGAAGAATGAGAAAAATGAACGGTTTCAGTGTGGCCCTCATGTTTTTTTTCTCGTTTTAGTAACTTTTTACTGTGTGTTTCGCGCAGTGTGCTCTTTTAGTTCGTAGATATGTGTCTGGATCTGCTGTGGCCTGAGCTTAGTCTGTCCTTTGTTTTCGTGGTCTCATTTGTCCTCGATTGTTGTCTGGACTTCATACGCGAAACCTTTCTGGCAGTCGGAAGATCTTCAGTGAGAGACAGGCAGAGCAGTGGTGGGCAGAGAACCGTCCACGCGTTTTGGAGCTATACAATATACGCAGCCCTGAACGAAATCCGGCGGATAGGGCGACCACCCCCCCAAGACCATCATCGGCGCCTTCGTCGCCAAGGGGCCAGGGGCGTGATAGCTCTGCTGCAAGGAACGCTGTCCCAACAGGCGTGAGCGAGTCAGCAGCAGGATCTTTCTCGTTTCAGAGCTGAGCAGCAGAGTCCATAACCATTTACAACTCATATAATAGTGAGTGTCTGAGCAAGGTTGACCCACAGCAATGGTGGGCAGGGGGAATTTCTTGGGATTGGCAACGGATGGCTTATCCTCTATCACAGTCTTTCCACGTATTTGGCCGGGGAGCACGCATACAGAGAGAATCATTTCGATCTTTCTCTGGGAGAGGAGAGGAGGAGGAAGAATATGTCGCACTGTGGCCGCATGTCTTCTCCGAGGAAAAACATGGCCTGGAGAATTGGAGGGACCTTGAGCAGGTCTTTTCTAGTGAGGACGAACGACCATGGAGATTAGCCATCGCCATCCAGATGCTGCTGTCCATACACAAGGGCATACATGGGAGTTCTCTGGGCGGACCCCGTAGGGATACTGTGCAGTAAAGTTGCAGCAGGTGTGAGACTTTCCGATCTCCTGAGGTGACCTGAGGAGGCTGCGATACAACGTTTTGGGAGGCAAGTTGGAAGGTGATGAAGCAGTGACGTTCCGGTTTCGGTTTGGGTTTTGGTCTGATCAAAATCGCATTGATTTTGAGAATGTGCCAATCTGGCAGGCAGCCATGGGTGTCGGGGAAAGGG